GGAAGGTGTGGCCGCCGCCGCAATAGTCGTCGTGCGGGCTCCAGCCGGCCGCGCCTTGCGCGCCCGACACCCAATGCGCCCAGACGACCGTGTTCTGGAGATAGCCCTCACCGACCGCACCGTTGAGGAAGGAGGCAATGCGCGGCATGCGCGCGATGTTCCAGAAATCGTCGAAGGCGAAGGCCACGGGCCAGCCGTCGGCGCGCACGGCCTCGACCGTGCACCGCATCCTGGCGATCCGAACAGGATCGAAAACTTCCCGCAGTTTGAAGTAGCCTTCCCGATCGAGGCGGTGTTTTTCACGCGCGGCGTCTTCATCGGAAATCCGCGCGGGCTCGCCGTCGGCCGGTTGGCCTTCGCCGATCGAGGCGAAAGGCGCAAGACGGCACCATCGCTCGACGTCCAGCGCCTCCTCGAAGCGCTTCCGCGTTTGTTCCGGCGACAGTTCGGAATCTTTGAGAAGGGCTTTGGCCACCGACGCGATTTGCTGCGGAGACACGCGCATCATCCGGCGGATCGCACATGGGCGAAAAGCGGCCGAAGATCGTCCGTCAGTCCGGGCAGGAATCCCCGCTCGAAGACCAGTCGGGGGATCGTTTCCTTCCGGAAGTTCACCGGATCCTGATACCAGCGTCGTGCGTAGGTGGCGTAGACCATCGGCCGGACCTGGCCGGAGCGGTTGGATGTGCCGCTGTGATAGGTGCGATAGTCCCACAGCATGCAGGAGCCCAGCGGAATCACGGGACGCAACGGCTCGTGACCTTCATGGCTGCCGCGTCGGTGACTGCCCGGCCAGATCGCCGTGGTCCCCGACAGGTCGTTCATCTCGATCAGAGGCAGGCCGAAGGTCAGGGCATAGGTCGGCAGCAGGCGCGAAATCTCGGAATTGAACAGGATCGGCCCGTCGTGATGGATGTGCTGGTCCTCGGCGCCGCTCAGCGACAGGATCGCGCCGAACGCATCGATGATGGCCGCTTCGTCGAGCACCGAGCGAACCAGGGCCAGCACGTAGGGATTGGCAAAGACGCCGGGAGCGCCGAGGGCGCCGGAAAATCGCAGCGGTATCATGAAACGGCGGCCGCCCACCTTCAGAGAATCGGCCGCTTCCTCGTCCTGGATCTGGTCCTGGTAGTCCTGGAAGAACTCCGCATGAAGCGCGCGGATGGTTTCCGCCGGAAAGACATTGTGGAGAATGACGTAGCCCTGGCGCGTGAACCAGTCGCTGGCCGCCTGGATCTGCGGCGAGGTGGCGAGCCCTTCGGTCGGAACGCCGGAAAAATCGAAACGGTCCATGTGTGCCGCCTATAACCCCGCCCTGCCC